ACAGAATCAGTACCCTGCTTGAGGGTCAAAAACTCCTGGGCCAAACGTTCCCTTTCCACCTGGGGAACGTACTCATCTCGGAACATAGTAGTGAACCTCTCCCAAGTCACTACAGCAAGCTCAGCAGGCAAATAATGCGCCGTCACAAACTTCCACCAGTCCTTCGCTCCCAAGCGAAGCTGGTTCAGTCGAACCGAACCCTCAAATGCTCAAGAGATAAGCAAGTAAAGAAACATCCCTCCATGTCTTATATCTACCTCATCGCTGCAATCGGATCCTGGGTCCCATCAAACTCCAGTGGTTTTGTGTTGCTGAACTCCCGAAACAGCAACGCATCACCACCCTACGATTTAGCCGTAGCTACAGCTGCAGTGGCCGCAACAACAGCAGCCTCAGAAAGAGCAGCGTATCTCTCATCGAATGTCTCTATTAGGGTGGTCTTAATAGACCCGAACATCTCTGGAATCTTATCGCGGATGGCAGCAGCCACCTCATCATGAATCATCTGGCGGAGCACCTCATCGCTCACACCCCCTCCACTGGTCACTGGTCGGTGACGTGTCCCTACCATGATGCCTCTCTGAAATACCACATAAGATATCAGTAATTTACTCGGATGTACACACACTCGATATCCCAACCCTACTTGATCTCTGGTGCCCTAAGGATTTTTACTTGGGTTGCGTACTGACCTGATGCCTTCGATAGTGTGGGACCAATACTACCGACCACACCGACTCAGCATTCACACCAAGTCCTCCTCCTAGAGCCCCAAATCCCAAGTATGCTATTTTCTATAATCATGTGCTACTCACTAGCAAATCTCTCATAAGCTCCTTGCTGCTATCTCAACACTCTCAAGCATTTTTAACAGCAAACTCCCTAGACTAAGCCATCATATATCAAGCCACTCTAGTCCTAATAAGAATACCTAGTCTTACTCTAGCATGCATAATATAATTCATATAACATAACATTTCTTTTACAACTTATGGTAAGGGTATTTTGGGAAATCACCATTCGGGCGCTGGCTGATCGTACACACGGTCCTGCTCTGTCTGTTTCAAAACTCTTTTTACTCCTTTTCTTAAAAAAAATTTACTTTATTATCAAATTTTTCCTCAGTTCCTCAGTTTGAGTTCAGATACGCCCGAAGATGCATCTGAATCCCTCAAACCAAGGCTCTGATACCAAATTGTAACACCATAAAATTTTAAAACAATTTTTTTCACATTTTCCAACACATTTTACCAAACACATTTAAAACAAAATCCCATTGTATCAACACTTTAGTTCACAAAAATATTTCCCAAGATCAAATACATAGAAATGCATGCGTGTGTACGAGTCATGCCGGCGCCTTCCCGCGATCATCACTAGTACCTGAAACACATAGCACATAACATTGTAAGCATAAAGCTTAGTGAGTTCCCCAAAATACCATACATATCACATACTAGCCACCCGAGGCTATAACTCTGTGGGCCCGTGGGCCCTAACTCTGTGGACCCTCTAGTCCTAACTCAGTGAACCTTTCGGTTAACTCTGATATATTCTGATATAAACCACATAGGAACAATGCAATATAACACATCACATAATAGCATACGATAACTCTGGTACATAACTCTAATTACCACTCTAGGTAAAGTATAGTGAGAAGACTCACCTTAGATGTCCCGGTAAATCACTGACTCGGTAGGAATACGATCTAGCCTCCGCCTAAACACATAAAGTAATATTCTCATAAATATAACTCTCAGAAACTAGACTCTACTCTCTCTAAGCACTCTTAGAAGAGTAAATGACCATTTTACCCCTCCCTTGGCTCAAAGACCCTCATTGTTGACCAAACCCTAAAAGTCAACCAAAGTCAACGGTCAAACTTTGACCCGACTCGGCGAGTGCACTTAGGCAACTCAGCGAGTCCACCTATGTCTACTTGACTCTTTTAGTCCCATTTAACATGTCGAGTCCCTTCCTTTACTCGACGAGTCCCCACGTAAGAATCGTGGGGCTACCCCGACTCAATTCGTTGAGTCTCAAGAACAACTCGGCGAGTACATGCCATGCACAAACTCCATTGACCTCCTGAGGTCAGATCTGTTCCTCTAATCCATAGATCTGTCCTTCCCAATCATAATAATCACGTAAATTCCAGACCTTGACACTCATATATCATCTAGATGGTATCATTTGGTGATTTAGCCCTAAAAATGGCATCCTAAGCTCATAACTCCCAAAATAACTCATAAAGCTCCAAGGTTTAAGGTCTCTGGACCTCTTTGATTCCAGATCCAAAGCATAAACTCGATAAGGGACCAATTGCTCCACATAAACATCCTCAAAGGAGGTTAGAAAACCCTAACTCTAAGTACCAATACCAAAACTGAAGAAGGTCCGAATAAATACCTCAAGTTGAAGTCTCTGAACTTTGAAACAACTAGAATCACACCTCCTTAAGCCTCCTCTTGCTCTTGATCACCTTCTTCTTGCTAAACCAAAGATAGAAAGATCAAATATGGCTTTTCCTTCCTCCCAAACGATCTATCTCACTTAGGGTGCTCTCAAGGGACTGGTAGCCGCAATGGAAGGCTAAGAGTGCCCTTAAATAGGCTCCAACCCCGGAGGATTAGGGTTTCATTAAACAGCATGGACTCGCCAAGTCCAGCGCGAATTCGGATGATAAACCGCGACCCTACTCGGCAAGTCTAAGCATCAACTCACCGAGTTCCTTCACAAATCCCAAAAATAAATTATTAGAATAATATACCTGGAATTTCGGATGTTACATCCCAAATGTTTTAAAATGAATAAAAATACTTTTCCTCGGAAATGCTTTGATAATGAAATTATCATGTTTTTATGGGAACAAGTTCTACAATGTTTTTATTAAAAGAGATACTCTGATTTTTATAAAGCATAAACAAAATCGGTCTTTTCTGGCCGTGAAAATGGGAATGTCAGACTCATTGTTATAGTCACCTATTCATTGTGCCGGTTAACCACAACGCTCCATCGAACTATGACAAACAATGAGTCACCGTTTGTGTAACGCCTGTGTTTATGGGCTTGTCATTAATGTTGATATAATAGTCTAGGTTAACTTTTGTAACCTGTTTTGAAATAATAGAAGTGTGTAATTTGTGTATTATGTGTTTTGTGCTTAATTGTGTGTCTTAATTTAATGAAGAATAAAAATAACCGTAAAAAATGAAATGTTAGATAAAGCCGATATCTATGGATAATGTTGTAGTGGTTGAAATGAGGTTTCTGAATATATAAAGAATGCTGAAATCCGAGTTATAACGAAGAAGTTATGACCTGTCGAAGTTTCGCGATAGAACCGACAAAGCTTAACGATGTAAAAAGTGAAATTTACGTTAAAGTGATATTTAGCCTTAGTCATCTAAACGAATGTTGTAGAGTTCGTTAAACTGAGTGCGTGCATAAAAAGAACGCCCAAATCTGACTTCGTATGAGGAAGTTATGATTTTCTGAAGTTTCGACTTAGCAGTATGCAGGCCGAATACTCGATTTGAGATCGAACGGTTTTTAGCCGAAACAATCTAAACGAGAATCGAAGATCTCGTTAATTGTAGTGAAACGATGAAAAGATAGGCAAAAACGGACGTCAGATGAAGAAGTTATGATTTTATAACGGAGTTTTCCTATTCCGACCTACTAAAAATAAATAATAAAAATAAAAGTCAAAATTTGCCGACGAAGTCTAAACGAAAGTTGTAGAGCGTAGTATCACCTATGTGTGGATATAAAGAACGTCGAAAACGGAGTTCGTATGAAGAAGATATGAATTTTCGAAGTTTATTAAATAATTCAAATTAAAATTTATTTATTAAATCCGACATTATCCGAAGGGGAGTCACCGGACTTAACCGGGTTATGCCCAGCGTAGGGCTGTACGCCCACCGTACAGCGAAGCATGACATGCCTCGCACTCTAGTTCTTCAGATACGTAAGCAATGACGATTTCGGAGGCAGTACCCCCAACGTACTGCGAGGCCTCAACCTCCTATAAAAGGGTTGCGAGGGCAGCCGACTCCATTTTCCAAATTCTTTTCTCTTTCTCCCGTTTTGCATCGTTTTGCGTGACAGAAGTATCCCGAAGCCCCAGTATTAATCCCGAGCCCCGAAGAAAGTTCCGAAGCCCCGAAGATCCCGCGAAGTGCAATTCCCGAGCCGAAGCTCTGCCCGCGAGAAGCCCGGTTTTTGTGAAGATCTTCCAGATCTACTGAAGAATACTACTTCTGCAAGTCGTAGTGCTATCCGATCATCTTTTGATCAAGTGAGTGTAGTTACCTTCTTCTAACACATAATTATGAAGTATTTTATACGAAATCACTACAAGAAAAATACCCTTTTAAAACGCGCAAACCACGACACTCATTGATTTATGTTATGCAAAAGAGAGTGACATTGAAAAAATGTCATCTCTTCAAAAAAAATTAAGAATTTATGTCACTCACTATTATGCGCCCTTAAATTAGTGTCTCAAGAAAAGAAATTAAAAACACGGAGGGCGCTTTATTTTAAAGGTGCGTCCTCTATACCTGTCGCTTTATAATTTTAATGAAAACGCGCGTTTAGTAGAGGGGAAAAGAAATCCCCAAAATTTTGAAAACCCGTCTTCTACCTTCTTTCTATCTTTCATCTTCTCCCCTCTCCCTCCTTCTCTCTCCTCTCCGATCCGTTTCTCCGCCACTCCTAACCTCCTTATCGGTCTCATCAAACATCGTGTCCCCTCCTTAATACCTTGCAGGAATCTAAAAATTAGAAAACCCCGTCCTCACAAAGTCTAAGAAACTAGGGTTTTTTTCATCCCTCAAAGAACGACCCACATCCTCCATAGATTGATCTCTATCTCTTCATTTCTCACAAGAAATCGAACACCTTACATTCATAAGGCCACAATTGCAAGGATCCTCACTTACATTTCTAGAGAATACCTTCTCATATATAACACGATCATCTTCACGAAAATGGCTGCCACCATTGCTTCATTCGGCTCAAGCTACGATCGAAAATCGAAGCTCAAAGCTTTCGACCAAACAAAAACCGACATCAAAGGCCTCGTCGATGCCGGAATCCGGAAAATCCCTCCCATCTTCTTCCACCCATGGGACACCACTCCCAAAATATCCACCACTGTTGTCAAGATTCTGGTCATAGACCTTCAATCGACCCATAGAGCATCGATGGTGGAGATGATTCGTGAAGCCTCCACGAACCTAGGTATTTTTTAGGTGGTGAATCATGGGATTCCTGTGAGTGTTATGGATGAGGCGGTTCAAGGAGTTCGTAGATTTCACGAACAAGATGACAAGGTGAAGAAAGGGTTTTACACGAGGGATCTTTCGAGTACATTAATGTATAACAACAATTACGATATGTATAATTCCCCCGCCTTGAACTGGAGAGACACCTTCTTTTCATTTATGGCTCTGTCACCTCCACAGCCTGAGGAATCACCGGAGATTTGCAGAGACATTTTAATCGAGTACTCAAATCAAGTCATGAAATTCTGAGGCATACTTTTCAGATTATTCTCAGAAGCATTGGGGTTGAACGTGAATCACCTTGGAGATCTCGATTGTGGCAAGGGGCTTTTATTCTCTGGCCATTATTACCCTGCTTGTCCACAACCAGAGCTAACCATCGGCACAAGCAATCATACAGACGACAGATTCCTAGTTGTGCTTTTACAAGAACAAACCGAAGGTCTGAAAATCCGCCACCAAAATCCAAAGTGTAAATTAAATCTTGAATCTTTCTTGTTAAATTCAAATTTTCAATTCCATCTTTTTTTTCTAACTTTTTATACTTTTTGGGTTTTTCTTTGAAGTAAAATCTTGAATTCGTGTTAGAAATTGAGGGAATCGGGTCAAAATCTTGAGGACATTCGAATTTACTGTCTTATTGTTAATCTACTCCATCCTGGAAGTCATTTCTTATAGATTGTTGTCTCACTTCATGCAACCAGGTCAAAATATGTTCTTGAGTACAGCAAGGAAATAAATTCCCTTTTAGGAAACAGGAAGTCCAGCCCTAGCTTGTTAATTGAAGATCCTAAGACAGTATTAAAGGTATTTGTTTTCGTGAATTGTTTCTTTTTATCATATTGTTAATCTTTATATTTTCTTTTTAAAATCTTCACAATAGATTGATGAGGAGCCAAGCTCTTTGAAAGCTGCATGGGAGCTCCTTGTCTTGGATCCCTGAACAACTTGTTGATTGGTTAACTGTAAGTATACTTGTCTAAAGTCTAAACTTTTATGTGAATTTAATCGTCTTTCTATTTATTATGAATAATACATTAATACTTCTCTGATTCTATCAAAGTTTGATTGATGACGAACAGGAATCGAATGCCATTGTTCGCATCTGGGAAGTGAAGTATGTGATTTTGAGTATTCGATTTGGGTTGATGACTGAAAAACAAAGAATTCAATTTTGGTGGTCTTATGTGTTCGATTTTGGGTTATTCAATGTCAATGGTTTGTAAATGCGAAGGTTATGGCTGGTTGAATGAAAAGAGAAGGACCGTGGTCAATGGTCAAATGGTTATTGGTAATTAACAATCGACACTTGATGATCTAATTTGAGTCTTTGCATCTAGCATAAACGATTTTGGTGTCTCACTATTTTAATGTCGAAGAGTTGATATAGAAGGATTCGTTAGCAACGGGAGGGAATGAGACGTCGACTTGATGTCGAGTAGCGAAGGAAAGGACTCGAGATTCCTTAGCTTTGATATTGATGAACAAAGGCTTGATATTGAATAGCGAAGGGTTGGAGATGTTTCGATTTTGACTTTGATTTGGTCAAATCTTCCCATTCATGTTTAGTGTAACGAAGCGAAGGAGAAAAGAAATAGTTTGGAATTACTCCCTTGCTATACATTGGGTTCCATTTGTTAACTTTCTAAATTATCTATGAAGACTCAAAGATATACACTTCATGGATATTGGCTCCAAACTTCAACAGCAATAGGAAGGTTATCCATGGAAGATCCCAATCTTCAGGTTAATATCTTCTTTTCTTCTTATTTTCATCCTTTTTCTTTTTTGGTATTCTTTTAAATATTTCTTTTAGTGGGTCAAGCATATGGTTGAATTCAAGATAGATAGCAATGAAAAAGAAGGCGATGATTCAAACATGGAACTCTATAAAGTATATTCTCGTGATTTCTTCATTCCAACCCAGGTGTGTGAATTATTCTAATGAAAAGAATATATTTAATTCGTTAATGTATAATATATATATATATATATATATATATACATATACATATATATATATATATATATATATATTCATGCAGGAAAACTGGTTATTAGTAACTGCAGATTATTCTTAGATAGAACTAAGATTAATGGCTCATTTTTCTAAAGACCAATCATTGATTGATCTTCTATTGACGCCTCTTGGTGATGTGTTCAACATGATCACTGCAAAATGGTCAGGAAAAGAAGAGTCTTTGGTGGGCCCCAAAGAGCGAGATCAAACTAAAAGATTGATTTATGGGATTTTATATGGAATAGGTGCAAATTCACTTGTTGAACAGTTGGAATGGAGTTCAGATGATGCTAGAGACAAAATTCAGAGTTTCAAAAGATCATTTCCTCGTGTTGCTTCATGGCTTAAAGAATTTGTTGCAGATTGATCCAAAGTGGAGTTGAAAGTGGTGCTAAACTACTGCTTGATGGAAGATATATTGTGGTATTTTTTTTGAACTTCATATAATTCTTTATGATATAAGGGCAAAATGGTCAGTTGGTCCCATTCAGCAGACTTAAGTAAACATACATTTTGTTGTTTTTATGTTGACTAGGTTCCAGGATATGAAGAAGGAAACTTTTTTGGGCCCACAATCTTGTCTGGTGTTACTGAAGTTATGGAGTGTTACAAGGTATAAGCTTTCTAGTGCTATTTTCAGTTATGAGGATGAGGAAGGGCATTTATGTCTTTTGCACAAAGTATGTTACAAGATTTGAACTTTTATCTAAATGCGGGAGGTAATCTTTGGTCCAGTTCGTATTTGCATGCAGGTCTGTTAATACTTTCTATATATAATATTTATTTAGCTGATCATGTTCATAATTCATTCTCTTGAAGGCTAATTTTGTAATTTCACCTTTTTATTTTTCATGCCGACAGCTTAGAAGAAGCCATAAAAATTTCCAACAGAAATAAGTAAAGTTTATTCCTCTCTTTATGAAAAAACAAACTCCCATCTTCATTATTTTTCAAGTGTTGAAGAAAGCCCACAAACACATTTTGGCATGCGTGGTTCTGTACCTTATAATTTATCTTCTGGAAATGCATCTAGGCGTCCAAATAGACAAACCTTGATTACTGACTTTCAGGGAACTCGCAAAGACGGTTACTCCGGCACGATCCTACTGTTGGAACAGGGCTTGTGGGTGCGTCATCTTGCAGTCATAAGTTGTTATTTTCACAATTCATATCATTTGCAGTATAATCGACAACACTTCAATCCAATGCTCACATGGGAAAGTACCAGTTTCGAAGATTTGCTCCATGAAAAGGTTATCAGCCATAGCTTAGCATAAAATATCTTCCAAGGTATGTAATATGTTTAGGTTTAACAAAACATGAGAAATTTCTATATTTGACCCTGACTTTGACTTTTTTGTTTGCTTGTGAATCAATCAAGTATGGAGGTTGAGCCAATGGATAAGAAGAAAAAACATTTGGTACAACATATCCAATGCATAGTATGCTATTACTTATTATTTATTAATTACATTTGGTACAACCATTTAAAATTTACATTTGTTTTATTTATTTATTTAACCCTTATTGGGTGTTTTGACTTTTAGGTTGAGTCAATGGATAAGAAGAAAAAACATTGACTCTCCATGTGATTCTGATACTAGGCCAACAGCTTCAATCAGGTGTGAACATGATCAACATATGCCTGAAGAAGCTCCTAGAGCCAAAAATCCAAAATTTTAATCACATGACTTTGTAACTATTTAGAGTAGATGGTGACCTCTCACTGAATTCGTTTCCTTTTTGGAACTTAAGACTATATTCCATTATCACCCTTTTCTCTTTCAGTAGCTTTCCTTTACCATGTGAGCAAGAGAAAGAGTGCAGTAGGCTAGGCATTAGTTTTTTTTTTCTTTTGGACCTTCACTATCATCCCCATGAGATTTTGTATGATAATAGAAATCTTTACTTTCTTTTATCTAGGCCTGTAGCTATCCACAGAAACAACACACCAGCTGCATCATTAATGCAATGAAAAAATTAGCCTTGAAAGCTTTTTATATGGGCCTGTAGCTATGCGAGCCATTCTGTTCTGTTTTATTTCCAGACCATCTTAGATGGTAAGTTTTATCTTGAAAATGAGATGTTTCCCCATCCCTACTTTAGTTTTTCCGATTTCAGTTGCTTGTAGTGTTTTACCATCAAGTGTCAGTTGGGGGTAGGCTTATTGTTAGTATTTTGTAAACTAATTGTTTTTTTGATTTCACTACGATGACAAGTTGTTAAACTGGGATTTCTGATAGGCCTACTACCATCCTAGCTTTTGTTACTGTAAGTGTAAATCGAGTTCAATTTCATGTATTAAAGCTTGATTTTTGATGGATATTGCAGGGTCATCAATGTTTATGGAGGCACTATGGTATGATTGGTAGGATCTCATGGAGGCAATGAAAAGCCATGCCATGTTATTTTAATGGGGATTATTAAGTTGTATCTTAATGAAACTCCATGAGGAAGAGAGGGAACATCGATGGATTTTGAGCCTGTTGAATCTGATCGAAGCTAATAAAAAGACCATTGATAAGTTTGTTGCTTTCAGATGGGTGACCTGACCGGAGTGTGAAGGTGGCAGTTGAGCTAATTCAATATTTCGGTAAACATCTTTCATCAATTTTTTACTTCTGATTTAAAGTAAATTTATTTTGTTTTTTTATTTGGTGGGAGCAAAATATGCTAATGTTCATTAATCTAATTTCACAGGTTTGAAATATATGAATTTCTTATTGATTTGTTTATTCTTAATGAAGAAGTTGAAGTTTCCCAGGTTAGAATTTTACAGAAATTTTCATGTTCCTTGTTTTTATATGTGAAGGTTTTCAGATTAAACTAATGCTTGTTGCATTTGGTAGTCCTCAGCTATCATAATTTGTACATCTTCAAGTCATTATAGTTATATTTTGCAAAAATGATGTACAAAATCTATAGTGATTTGCATTTTTGTGCTTTGATTTTCAGGTTTTGAGAGGTGGTGGACGAGGCTATCAGAAAGATGGGACTGATTTTGGCTTCTTCTTTAAATGTGGACAGCACAAATTATAAAAGAACCTGTCTGCACCTAACAAGTTCAGCAAGGTAAACTACCAAGTTTAAATGAGTCATTTTCTGTTGTCTATTTGTGGTTTTAAACTTAAACTGTTGAGCATTCTTGTTTTTATGAGTAGTTTCATATTATGTTATGTACTTGTTAATCTTGAATCCTATTCTGTAATTATTATATGTGTTAATTGCTTTTGTACATTTGTAGATACCTCCCTGGACCAGATGGCATGTTAGTTTTGGACATTGCATACACAATCTACACAAAGTTTGAAGAATGTCAAAGTGTGATGTCCTGATTTGTAAAAATTTGTAAGTGTAATGCTATACAATGTCATGAGATTATCAATGTAGCCCTACACTACACTTTTCTGAGGAAGTTGATCCTCAATTACTTTTTTACCACTGGCATATTCTCAAGTCACTAGAAAATGACCTCTTTATTCTCAACTGCAGGTAAACCACATTTTACATGTCATATTTTAATTAACAGGATATACTATTAAGTGTTATGTGTTAATTACTTGTATAATGTTTTCATGCAGTTTTGAAACTTTATGGAACTTGGATCTGTCATATAGTATCATTAAAGAAGTGGTCAAAGGTTTGAGTTCTATTATCTAGATGATGATCTTTATGTTTTCATGCTCCTTTTTATTCCTTCTTTCCTCCATAATCCTCCTTGCAGATTTCTGTAAACCCTAGAGGAATTCTGTCACCACTTCCTTCACAATCCTTCTACGATTTCCAAAATCGTTATCCTTCTGATTCAAAAGGCACTGACATGGATCTTCCAAGTCTAGCTGTTGTTCTACAAACAACACTTAGTCCCAATCCTGCTGAAAGAAAAGCCGCTGAAGAGAGCCTCAATAAGGTATTACTTCTCATTTGGATCGAAGTTACATTGGAAATCGTATTCAATCATGGATCATCCAAGTCTAGCTGTAGGTATATGTTTTTTTTAATGAACAATGTAATCATATGTATGAATATGAAATAAATTTTGTTATTTAGTATGTAATAATCATGTATAGGTAGAAAACAACTTCTATTGATTTGTTTTATCTTTCCATGGATCGATTATTTGTTTGATATTAAATTTTATGCAATGGATTGTATTTTTTTTATATAGTATTTTATTTTTTGTTATGAGACATTAAATGCAAATTTAATTTGAAAATTAGTAAGCCTATAAATAATACTTTTTTTAACATTTAAAATTACGATACGCAAAAATGTGTGTCATCTTCATTTATGACATGACCTTTCTTGACAGCGGCTTCCTTAATACGCATTGCATGTCATTAACACGCGCGTCGTTAGGTTACGATGCGTGAATGCATGTCGTCTTCCTTTATGACATGGCTTTCCTTGATATGCATTGTGTGTCGTAATTGCGCGTCGTAAATGAGCATCGTAAATGAGCTTCGTAAATGCGCGTCATCTATAGACAACGCGCAAAAGCGCGTCGTCTCTCTTTATGACAGGGCCTTCCTTGACGCGCATTTGCGCATCGTCTGAGCCGTTTACGACACGCAATGAGTATCGTAAAAGGTTGTTTTTCTATCAGTGAATACGTGTTATGTGTATATTTGGTTGTTATATGCGTGAATGTATATTCACTTTCTTCTATCTCATAGATCCGATTTATTCTGTATGAAATATGTGTTATGAGTGTGTGCCTCATCTGTTATGTGGAATATGTATTGATTGAACATGCTATACAGGTTTTAAACTATGTATAAAAATATATATATTTTTATCTGCTAATATGTTGGGTAGAACATGGGTAGATAGTTGATGTGTGATAAACAGATGAGAGGCCTCGATGTTGTTGTTGACCTAGTCATCTAGCGGAGTATGGATGACGACCACAGACTCTTTCTAGACAGTCTTGTGGAATGCTAGCAGGTTCATAACATGTAGGTGTTGTGAACGATGTGTTCACCGGTGTACTCTATCCCCCTCATGGTTGCCTTTAGGATATCTATTGTTGAGGAAACACCTTAGCAATAATGCCCGTCCCGATGAAAATCCTAGATTTGGTCCCTTGAGATAGATGTTGTTTTAGGGACATAAAGTGAAGATAACGGGAATGGGTAATCGGGTTATTGTTGGTTGGTGAAATTAAATATAATTATTTATTGTGGGTTGAAAACCCTATATGCTCACCAGGCTCCCAAGCCTGACCCACTCAATTTAATTGTATTACAGGAAGTGGCGCAAGGGCATAAGATGGATGAATCATCAAGTTGTTTTGTTTACAAGTCTGCATATGTATATATTTGTTGAATGACTTGTAATGTTATCGTTTATGCTTTATGGTCTGTA